TTTTTTTTTTTTTTTTTTTGTTCACATGATGATAATCCCCAAATAATTATAATATTTTTTCTTTGTTAATGAACCCCCACTAATCAAAATTTCCATTATCAATAAAAACTTTATAATAAAATGATAAACAGTGGGAAATATCTTAAAAACTAAACTAATCTTTGAAATCAAATATCACACAACGTTAACTTTATCGAAGATCTTCTCCTTTTTTATATTCTCTGAGCCATTATTATGCATACATATTCCCCCCTCCATATATAACATTTTTTTAAACCCTGAATTACTGTTTGTTCTGAATTACGTTGTTCTGAATTACGTTTGTTCTTTGAATTACCTTTGTTACTATTATTCTTCCTATCAAATCCTATTCTTTTGATTAACATGATGTAAGTATGCATTGAATTCGTAATTTTTTTTTTTTTTTTTTTTTGTGATCTGTAAGAGGATTGATTACATGCATAGTTTTGTCATATATATTAAACTATGATTGTTTAAGAATTTTAAAAATCAAGTTTGTTTTACATTTTTATCCACGTTATGCAATTTTAATTTTTTTTAAAATATGACGCCAAATAATTAATTTAACATCACGTGGAAAAATGTGGAATCCGTCAAATCCGTCCAATTGGTCAATCAGTCTAGACCTTCACACCCCTTTTATTATTATGTAATATCGTATGAAACCGGAAATCTTGCTCGATTTCACATGAGTAACGTTATACATTATATAATACGAAATTTCATGATAATATGGTAATATCGGAATATCATATCCAATATTTTAATGGTTTAAAAATTCACATGAATTTATCATGATATGAATGTGTGATAAAGTAAAGGTCAAATGTCAAATGGTTAAAATGCTTAATAAGGTCCAAATAGTTCCAAATGGTTAAAAATGTTTAATAAGGACAAACATAGGATAAACTTTTTTATTATAAATTATAAATTATCCAAAAGAAATCTTATTAAAAATCTCTTAAAAAAAAATTTTTTTCATTTAAAAAAATCTTATTAATCTTATTAATCTTATCTTATTATTAATTCCTTTCCCTTTAATTACATTAAAAGACACATTGAATAAAATTTTCATTATGTTCAAAAAAAAAATAACAAACAATGAATGTGGTTTACAATGATTGTGGTTTACAATACAATGTGGCGTGGTTGATGTGTGGCATTCATGTGTGTGTGGTTTACACTTTACACTTTTTTTAACTTTTTTACTTTTACAATACAATGGGTGTGGTTTAAAAGGATGGCTTGTGAAATTGTTATTTCCAAAATTGGTATTTTAAAAAAGATTTCTTATTCATAATAAGATATAATAAACAATCTTATTCATAATAAAGACATTCCCTCCTTTTTTTTACTCCACATAAATTTCACGAGATATTACCTTCACAATAAAGATAAATTTCGTGTGGTTATAACTTTAATAACAAATTTTCCTAATGAGTGAATCAAGAGTTTATTAAAGGAACAAGAATCAAAACAATGGACATGTCCAAAATCGGTTTAGTATTTATGCAAGATGAGATCATTCCCAATTTTTTATTCATTTTACGGCCGGTTGGCTAAGTTAGTGGCTCATACGCATTTAATACGCCATAAGTAATTCCATTGTTGAACATATGGTAACATACGGCAAAATTTGTTTCTAATTTGAGTACAAAACTTGATTAAATCCCTGGTAAAAATGTTGTACCCCCAATAAAAAATTCTATTCAAATCATTGAACCCATTTAATCAGCCACAAACAATAAAACAATGATTTTTATAAACTCTCATTATATTACTTATCTCAATTGGTTCGGGCTTCATTGTCACACAAGGCTTCGGAGCTTATCTCTAATAGAATTTTATTTGAGACCGGTAAAAAGGAACACTAGTATAAAATTAAAAAATTTCCTAAAAGATTCCTATTTACCAATAATAAAGAAAAAAAGAACCTGTTATATGATAGTCCATTTTTTTTACCTTCTTTTGATACTTAAGAAAACAATTAGATTTATGATTCACTATTATTAATTGTGGGGTTTATTGTTACACATTTAATATATCAAAATATATAAAAAAATATAATTATATTTATATTTATAATTAGGGAATAATATCTTAGAAAATCTCCCTTATGTTTTAATTATTATTACAGGTAAGGGTGATCACATATATGTAATGTATGTCGTATTCATTATTATTATATACATATATATATATATATACATATTATATTATATATTATACGCATTTTTTTAAATTACCAAATTTATCTTTTTTTAAGTTATTTAATTTAAATATGGATACTTTCCTTCTTAAAATCCCCAAAAAATTATTTCCTTC